GTGAGAGCCAGTGTTAAATAAAGTACCACAAAGTGATACTTGAATAAAACAAGTACACGTATCTTACCAAAAGATGACTTTGGTAAAAGTTAGTTTCCTTTAGGAATATTACTTGATTAAAAGTCTTAAAGTATCTGATATTTTTTGTACTTAAGTATTAAAAGTAAAAGTATTGATTTAAAATGAGCAGTTAGATTTTCTGTAATGACCTTTTTTAGGAGGTGACCTCCCCAAAAATGCGGAAATTACTGTATTGTATTAAAATAATTATTTTGTGTTAAATTTAGGATGCACCAGTCTAGTTGTTTCAGTTTATGTACATATATCAAGGCTGCCCAAACCTTTTTCCCACAATGAAAATTTATCTGAGGGCTGAGGCCAAAAGCAATAATATAATTCATGAAATACAAATACTTCTTAAGTACAGTCCTTTTCTTTTAATGATTCTGTCCTGCTGGAGTGTGACATGATTTGTTTGTATACAAACTAATACGGTATCAGAATTTTATATATTTATGCTTCTCATTCAACCACAATTAAATTCATTCTATCTAGGAGGCACAGTTTCTATGGATTTATTTTTTATAACAAACTGCAATGAAAACAAGCAAAAATGGAATAAAAGTAACAACTTTCTACTTCTTGCCTTTTTAAAAAATGTAAGGAGTAGAAAGTACAAGATAATTGTGTGAAAATGTAAGAAGTAGAAAGAAAAAGTAGGCTGAAAAATAATTGTTCAAGTAAAGTAAAAATACCTAAAAATTATACTTAAGTACAGTAACAAAGTATTTGTACTTAGTTACTTTACAAGTTACATTACAACTCTGACTAAAGGTGTGAAAAAAGACACGGAAGTGCCGTTATTACTATGTGCTTGTTATTTCTCTGTTTTTTCACAGTTTTGGATTCACAACTGTTCCTTCATGAGTTTTAGAAAATCCTTACAAATATGTATGAAAGGGTTCACCTTAATCGGGAACAGTGTGCTTTTTATTGGTGCAGACAAAATAGAAAAAAAAGCAATCACAGTGAAAACAAAGAGATTTCGGTGGAGCCAGTTTAAAAGCACAGCCCTCTCCAGAGCTCTTCAGACGTTACAATAAAAACATCATTCAGAGTTTATTCTGACCGGTCACAGAAAGCTGGACTTTCCACGACTGAACAGACATTTTGATATATTTCACAGCTTTCACACAAAGAGCTCCTGTTTTTGTGGCTTTAGGGAGAGTTTCCCATAAAAGTTTTCAGCTCTGTGGATGATGACACACAGCAACATTAAAGCTGTCTAAGCCTCCCAAAATTATTCAAACACACACTTCCTTTTCTTCCAAACTTTAACATTTCTTCTGTGTTGAAGAGTTTGCCTTCTTTACCATGTATCTCTCACTGCAGGAGGACTTCTGGTTTTCTCTCGCATTTCTGCAAAGTGCATCAAAACTCTTATTGACTTTTCTTGAATTAGAGCAATTTTCTCTTCAAAACCTGATGAAGGTTGTCCTGTGTAAAAGGTGTAAACACAGACATGTCTGCTATAGCTGCTCGTGATACTTCTTGTTCATGTACTCATTCAGTATCATTTTATATTTTGTACACTGACTACAAAAGGCAGAACTCTTACTAAGAGGGCTGTCAGGGAGTGAGAGACAACGATGTGTGGTTACTATGGTGACCATAATAAAGCAATTGCAGCAGCTTTAACGTTACTTTTACTCTTTGTTCCCTTTGCATTTTTTAAGTTGATACATAAAAGTGTTGACAATTTGTCATCTTATCAGAACCTTATAAACTTTTTTAGCCTCTGTCTCACAAGAATGTCACTCACAGAGCACTGATTTAAAAACACAGGCTTTGATAATAAAAATGGCCATAATGTCAACAAAAACAGCTTTGACCAACATGGAATTAGATTTATCCGTTTATGATGACTGTTATTTTTCTGTGAGGTTATTAGGAAAGTGTAACGTTAGCAGTAGGTTTCGAAATGTGTCTTGAGATCATCTGAGGATCATCTTTGGTGTTTCAAGACCAGTGGGGTCTCCATCCTAAATTGAGAACCACTGGCTTAGATTATCACAACAGTAAGTTTTAAATAACTACTGGGCTTTAAGGGAAAATAAATAAATAAATTGAAAAAAAACTTTGTTTTTAGAAATGTTCCAGATTTTTCAGTGTTGCACTATAAAGATAGCCACCAGTAAAATGTGGAACAAGAACCAGAGATCCTAGTGAATAATATTTGACTAACCTAAAACTCAAGTGTAGAAAAGCAGTTTTAGTGTAAAGACAAAGCAGAGCTCACACTCACTCAGAGACAGCTGGGAGGATGGTGACAGCTCACCTCCTGGTCACCGAGCCTTTCCAGCCTGGCAGCAGCTGTCACAAGACAAAACTCCCAAACCTTTTTTTTTTTTTTTTTTCACCGCAGCTGAGGCTCCAGAGCTGTTGCCCTGGACTTTTCCCTGCTCTGAGAGTCCAACTCTGCGTGAAGACTGTCGCTTTTAAACCTGAAGCAAATCCCACGGGTCTGAGTCCCCCCGGTAATCAGTCCTGACCGCCCGCTCCGTCCGTCCCTCTGTCCGCACAGCAGCTCAGCCCGTCGCCCTGCGTCTGCGCGTGCGTGTCGGTGCGCGAGCGTTACAGGAAACGAGACAATAGTACCTAGATTGAGGGTCACGGGGTAGAGAGGGGGGAAGGGGGTCAGGGAGGGACTGGAGAGAAGAGGAAAGAACAGAAAGAAGGATCTATCTATCTATCTATCTATCTATCTATCTATCTATCTATCTATCTATCTATCTATCTATCTATCTATCTATCTATCTATCTATCNTATCTATCTATCTATCTATCTATCTATCTATCTATCTATCTATCTATCTATCTATCTATCTATCTATCTATCTATCTATCTATCTATCCAAAAGTCCACACTGTTTTATGTTTTTTTTTTCTGGGAAAAAAAACTGAGTTTGTACTCTTGCACAAAAATCTAAGTTTAAATTAGTTTAACTGAATTTCATTTGTGACGAAGAAGACTAGTTGCAGTGGAACTAAAACAAAATTGTAAACTGTTACTGCTGAGATTGAAGCCATTTTGAATTACTTCACTTTTTTTGCAAAATAATAATAATAATCACATCATAACTTTTATTCCATATAGCACATCCAAACTGTACAAACACACACCAAGAAATTTAAGAAACCAACACCTGTGATCCATAGGACTCGAACTGAGAGGGATTCAATCCCAGAAAACTTCATTAACATGTTTAAATATTAATGCCAAGTTAAATTAAGTGCAAGAAAGGCAAAACAAACTCTTGTCTCTGCTTTTGCAAAAAGTAGATTAGAAATAACCCAAGCAGGTCTTAGATACTGTTAGTGAACAGACAAGTGTTTGCCATCTAGATACAGTACCTGCAGTTTCAAACAGATCCAGACACACAGCAGACCTCGATTCAACTGGAACACCACGCAAACCATTGTTACGCCACATCTTTATTGTTTTACATAGAACATCAAACATGAACAGAGGTTGACTGGATGTTAGCCACAGTGGTTCGTCCTGTGAGCATTGTTCTAACCAGTGATTGTGCATGAGCACCGAGGTGCCTCATGTCTTTTCACCTTCAGAAACAGAAGTTTCTGACACACCACTCCTCCTGTATCTTTTGAAAAACCTGAACAGAAATCACCTCAGAGTGTGCAGCTTGACTGTGCAGAGGTAGCAGTATCAGACGTTATAGACAAAAAAAAAGATCTCTGCAAAATATTTCCACATACAACAATGGAAATTTGGTGCCATGAATGAAACAGAGCCCCTCTCTTCAGACTCTCTTCTCCCTGAAAATATCTTACCGGGGAGGCTAAGGAGAGTGACACTGCTATAACTGGAGCACACCCATGCTACATAAAGTAGCTCAAATTATGAAGGACCTTCTTCACAGTGTATAGCAGTTTATATGCTTTTTTTCCCCCAAAAAATATTTGGTCTCATATAGTAATGAATGTAAAATTAAAACTGATTTATTAAACAAGCAAAAACAAAGACGTGATGGCAAAACCTACAAACTAGAAACTCAGGGTAGAAAACACAGAGAGGTTCAAGGTTACACAGGTAAAATCAAGACATTTGTGGTTAATCAGGACAACGAGCTGCTGAAGAAGTTGTGACGTGAGACTAAATAAAAAGACACTGTAGGTGAGTGGAAAGTGGCAGCACCTGGGCTGAATTCTGATTAGTTAGTACTGGCAGGTGAGGGTGGCAAGCAAACTTAAGAACACTAGGTGCTGACTGGAGGCAGATTTAAATAATGGAACAAGAAAAACACTAAAAGTAGGATCAACTTCAAGAATCTGTATTATCCCCAAGGAGCAATTTGTTGCACAGCCAGAAGACATAAAAACAACAAAAACAAAAATATTCATGCACAAATACACAAAAATCACATATGTTCATTAATAAATTGAAGTGCTGCTGGGATAAATGAGTTTTTAAATCTATTAGTCCTACGTTTGGTCAACTGATACCTGCGTCCAGGTATCAGTTGACCACATAAAGATGGATGTTAAATATGACATGCAGAGACACAAGTGAATAAATATCTTAACATCTCAATCTCCATCTTCTTCCGCTTTTCTGTAGTCGGGTCACGGAGGCAACAGGTCCAGGAGAGAAACCCAAACATCCCTCTCCCCAGTGACACTTTCCAGCTCGTCCTGGGGGACCCCAAGGTGTTCCCAGGTCAGAGAGGATACATAATCCTGCCAATTTGTAGTTTGCCATCATCATCAGTGTGTGAATGTGTGTGAGCATGGGTGAATGTCTGCAGTGTGAAGCGCTTTGAGTGTCCTGGATAGATAGAAAGGCGATATATAAGTACAGTCCATTCCCATTTACCAATGAGTCCTGGGTCTTCCCCGGGGCCTCCTCTCTATGGGATGTCCCCAGAAGACCTCTAAAGGGAGGAATCCAGGAAGCATCAGATGCCCGAACCACCTCAACAGACTCCTTTCGATGTGGAGGAGCAGTGGCTCTGCTTCAAGCTCCCCCCGGATGATGGAGCTCCTCACCCTATACCTAAGGCTGAGCCCGACCACCCTATGAAGGAAGCTCACTTCGGCCGCTTGTATCTGAGATCTGGTTCTTTTGGATATGATCCATGCCTCATGACCACAGGTGAGGGGTGGAACGAAGACAGACCAGTAAATCGAAAGCTTTGCCTTTTGACTCAGCTCTTTCTTCACCACGACTGACTGGAGTAATGCCCTCATTACTGAGGATGAGGCCCCAATCCGTCGATTTATCTCCCGCTCCATCCTACGATCACTTGTGAACAAGACATCCAGATACTTAAACTCCACCACTTGAGCCAGGAGACCTCACCTGGAATAGGGAAAACGGGGCACCTCCCTGGAGCCAGGCCTGGGGGGGAGCTCTCCGGCGAGCAGCTGGTGATCGAGCCTTGGCTCCTGGGGTTGGGCCGGGCGAAGCCCAAAAGGACTACAGGAGGCCACCTCCACGTGGACTCACCACCCGCGGGGAGGACCATTAAGGTCAGGAGCGATGTATGCTAGGCAGCAGGTGAAGGATGGTCCCTGGCCGTGCTGATTCCTGGCGGCAAATATCTTAGCATAGAAAACAAAAACTCAAAGAGAACCTGAATAATCAAGAAAAATAACCAAACAAAATAAACCAAAGGAACTGATGAACAAAAACACACAGATATGACGCTGACTGTAAAAGTCCAACATGTAGCTTTCGAGAAATTCATTCTGGACTGGAGACTGGAGCAACTGGAGTAAGTAGAGAAGCTTCAACCATTTTTATTATTGTAAAAGTCTAAAATTTTTTAAATAAAAAAGAACTCTTCTTATTTCCACAGCCATTACACTTGTTATTCTTATTTACATTTAAAAATAAACATTTTTTTTGTTTTCCACTTAGTTGTTTTCCCCCGTTTTCCTCAAAGCGCACACATTCAGGCTTTTTCCCTACAAAGCTGGAAATGTAGGGTCTAATTTAACGTACTGTGTTTTTACATAAATACTGTGATCACATCTGAATAGGTAACTGTGATAACCAGATACTTCTCCATTCAGAAACATTTATTGAAACTTATAGTTTTTGCACTGTGACTGTGAAGGCCCCCACATACTGTACTTAGGCATACTTCACTCTGCAGAGGTCCTTGCAGATTCGAGGTGGACTAAATGTGGATTTAATAAGTGAGACAGGAATTTCTTTATTTGAATTTCATAATAATTACTTTAAGTATTTTGAAAATTAAGGAGTCTTGTAACAGCATGAACATGCGTTTACAGTGATGAGACATGACGTGTTTCTGGACACACAAGAGAAATGGAGTCCCTCATCATCCATTAATGACATAATCCTAAACAATTGATGCCCTTCAGTCTTTCTAAAAAAACACAAAAAAAATTGGAAAAACACCAAATAAAAAGGGACATCTTTCAGTGTTACTCAGGCCAAATGAGTTAAGAGCAGGAGCACAAGGTGTCTCAAAATAACAGCATTATTCTACCGTATTCTGGCTGATCAAAGTGCTGCCATTCCATTGTTAGAACACAATCCTAATGTCTCAGGCCATTACAGAGGTTATTTTTAATCAGTTGGTAGGGCGGCGTTGGACTGGCTCCTTTTGTGTTCAGGGTGGCATTGGGCAATGACACACACTCACTGTGTGTGTGTGTGTGTGTGTGTGTGTGTGTGTGTGTGTGTGTGTGTGTGTGT